ATTGACTTTGCTTTTTCCCACGGGATCACATAACTGCAGGACCCTGCAACCGTCATAAATATGAGTCAGTTGCCAAGCGTCTGAATTTTGATCACATGACCATGGGAATGTTGTAACGGTTGTAAGTGTGAAAAACGGCCATTAGTCACTTTTTCAGTGATATAACTTTGAACGGTCACTAAATGAATTGTTGTAAATCGAGGACTACCTGTACATTGGTGCTACATTACCTTTAAAATAATGTTATGCCTCTCCTGGCCACTAGAGGGCAAAATGAGATCAAGGCTGCATAAAGAAACTTCACAGATGCTGTAAAATTAATCACATTTGTAATGTAGTGATTGCACATAGTTTATCAGTTGGAAAGGTGAGATCTTTCAGAAAATGTTGTGGGCAATATGCCTAACCACAGTTCCACCCAACTAATCAATTGCACTCCTTTTCCAGGATTTTTTTTAATCCATTCCCATTCCCCACACATTATCTTTCCTCCAGCTCTGGAGGAAAGTTCTGCAATCATTCACTTAGAGTGCTTAGTTCTAATTTTTCTCACTGGTTTCAGATTCCTTTTTTTTAAGAGAAAGAAGATTGATCCATTAAGCTATTAGGCATTTTTTTCTCCCAAAGGCCTTTTTTTAAAAAAAAAAGTTAAATGAGGCTTCACTATATATGCTGAGAGGTGGCTTCCTTTTGAAGACCTATTGGTGAAAAGACTTTGTATAGTTACTTATTTATTACAAATATAGCCCTCATTTAGTGACCACAATTGGGACTGGCAACTTGACTGTTAGATGAAGCAGTTGCTACCGTGTTTCCCCGAAAACAAGTCCGGTTCTTATATTAATTTTTGCTCCAAAAGATGCACTAGGGCCAGGGGTGGGTTCTAATTTTTTTTACTACCGGTTCTGTGGGCGTGGCTTATTTTGTGGGTGTGGCTTGGAGGTCATGTGACTAGGTGGGCGTGGCTAGCTGGTCAGTCATTTCTGGAAGGTCCTCGCACTTACGACCAGTCCTCGCACTTACGACCCGACTCATATCATCACTGCTACCGGCTCGGCCGAACCGGACCGAACCGGGAGGAAGCCACCACTGATTAGGACTTATTTTCTGGTTAGATCTTATTTTGAGGAAAATAGAGTATTAAATGCATCGATCTGGCTAACAATCTTAACTAGGGCTTATTTTGGGGGTAGGGCTTATATTACGAACCCTGAAAAATCATGCTAGGACTTATTTTCTGGTTGCGTTTTATTTTTTTGGCAAACAGAGTAAGTGAAACTGTGACTGTGCTTATGATTTTACTTCATCTTTCCTTTGCTTTACAGACCTGCGAAGGTTGTAAATACAAGGATTTATCATAAAGTTACTTTTTCATCACTGTAGTAACTTTGAAGGATTGCAAAACAAAGGCAGTCACTAAACAAGGACTACTTACATTATTTATTAGGCATTTGCAGTGTTTTCCCAGTTATATCCAAATAGCCCATCATGCCAGTTCACCAAACAGTCCCCAAATGGAGCGGATTGGTCGGCTTTAAAGAAAGTGGGTATCAACAGCTTGCAGGGAGAATCGGTTTCTTCATACTTATCAGATAATAATGTTAATTCTTCTCTATTCCACCATGTACCTTTCCTGAAGAAGTTCAGCAATGTGTTTGTGTCTAGGTGTTTGTTTCCTAATTTAGTACTTCCTTAAAGAGGAAATTATTTTAATTAAAGTGCTATAAACCTACTTTTGGAGCCCACCTTGTTAGCAGCACCTTTGTCAACGTTGGCTGATTTCAGAAAATGAAGCTGGGCTGAACCCGGATAGAATTTGGATAAAAGTTTACCAGAAATATCAGGGCTGTAGGCCAGAACCCAAACTTAAAACAATTAGGTTCTTGTTTCTTTTTGACAACCACTAATTTTAAGAACTCAGATCTATAAATTTTTCCTGTGGATATAAATAATTGGCATAATATCTTGTTGTAATTACCCTGTGGTACATAAATTGCATTAAATTTATTAATGCTGATTGACAGGTATCATTAACCGTCATTAATAAACCCAACCTATCAATGGTGGAAGGAACTGTGAGACAGCCCTAAGCAGCAGACATAACTGATCAGTGTGCAAAATTCATTGGCAGGCAAAAAGGAATCAAAATTTATCCAAGATAATGTATCAAATCTGACTCAAAGAAGATCCCACTTAGGTTAGCTGTTTTGATTTTATCCTGGTTGAATAGAAAATTGGGTTAAAAGTCAAAAATTGAAAAGAAGTAAGAAAGAAGAAATGAAGAAGAAATAAAAGGCTATTAATCACACTTTTCTTGAAATAAGAAATGTGTGAATATATGAGTTTCTCTCCCCGAAGAAAGAATTAATGGTGGTATCTGAGCACGCTTCCCATACTGTTCCTTTCATTTTGTGTAGGTGGACCATATTAATATATTGCAGGCTAAAATAATGTCCCACATCCCTCTTTAGGCCATGTGGCTGTCTCTCCCCGAGCTACAGATGGAGCATTTGGGAAGATTGGAAACTAAAACATATGAAGAATAGCTGAAGGATTTGGGTTTGGCTAGTCTAAAGAAAAGAAGAATTGGGGGCGACATGATTGCAGTATTCCAGTATTTGAGGGGCTACCACAAAGAAGAGGGGGTCAAATTATTCTCCAAAGCACCAGAGGGCAGGACAGGAAAAGAGCCTTGGTAGTACTAGGGTTTAAGGCACCCTGTTATTAAGCTGCTTAAGACCAGCTGCCTGCAATTACTGCAGGGTTCGAATCTCGCCAAGGCTCAAGGTTGACTCAGCCTTCCATCCTTTCTAAGGTAGGTGAAATGAGGACCCAGTTTGTGGGGGCAATAAGCTGACTTTGTATAAATATACAAAAGGATGAAGGCTATTGCTGAGCACATTGTAAGCCGCCCTGAGTCTTCAGAGAAGGGCGGCATATAAATCAAATTAAAAAAAAAAAGAAAAAAGAAACAATGGATGGAAACTAATCAAGGAGAGAAGCAACCTGGAATTAAAGAGAAACTTCCTAACAGTGAGAACAATTAACCAGCGGAACAGCTTGCCACCAGAAATTGTGGACACTCCATCACTGGAGGTTTTTAAGAAGAGACTAGACAGTCACTTAACTGAAATGATATAGGTTCTCCTGCCTGAGCAGGGGATAGGATTGGAAGACCTCCAAGGTCCCTTGCAGCTCTATTCTATTTGTAAGATCTGGGATATCTCTAGTACAGGTAGTCCTCAGGTTACGATTGTAAAGGAGCCTATTGATTGCGATTGACTCAATGTTACAATCTTTTTTCAAGTGGTTGTTAAGTGAATGTAGTGGCCATTAAGTAATTGCCACAGTCATAAAGTAAATGCCTGTTTTCAACAAAGCTGTCATAAAATGTGACTGTGGAATACTGCAAATAGCCATAAATGCAGCCCGGTTGCGGTCATGTGACACCCCCCCCCCCCAGGGTGGTTAAACATCAGAACTTTGAATTTGGGTTGTAAATCAAGGACTACATGTACACAATTTAGAAATGGATTCAAGAGCAGGCATTAGAGGTGACTATGACCATGCATAACACATGGAACCATAAATCTGCCAACATGTATTTTAACATAGCTTGTTTTGAAAACTAGGTTGTGTTGCTAATTTTTTTTTCTTCAGTTGTAGTATAAATCAAAATGCTGGATTACTGAGGCATCTGTATATCTGGGGGCAAATTGCCAAACAAGCATTGCATTGCCATGATGTAAACTCTACCACGCTTGCAGTGCATTATGCTATCACATACACACATCACATGTAGGGGCAGAGCTTGTGGTGCAATGTTGCATGCTCATTTCATGAAATCCAGGATTCTGCAGACCTCTCTGCTGAGTGAAGTCAACTACTGTAAGTATATAATATTTTTTTTAAAAAAAGAGTCGTGCTTTACTTAACCATGGAAAAACGCCGTGTATGTGTGAATACAAAGCTCACGGGAAGATGAACTTGGGAAGAACCGTTGGGATCAAAGATGACCACAGGATGGTTTAAACCAGGGATCTCCAACCTTGGCGACTTTAAGCCTGGAGGACTTCGATTTCCAGAATTTCCCAGCCAGCTTTGCTGGGGAATTCTGGGAATTGAAGTCCTCCAGGCTTAAAGTCGCTAAGGTTGGAGACCCCTGGTTTAAACCACACAGACCCCCACGCTGTGTCATGATAACAGCCGACTTACCAGGGCTTCTCACTCAAACGGGAATCTCCATCTAGCTCTCAGCAGAGCTGAAGCCGGACTAAATTCTCCCATCCCAGAAGTAGCATCATCTTTCTTGCCACCACATTCCATGCAGATTTTGAGACATGGTGGGGAGGCTGCCAGTAACATGGGACCAGCCTTGCATCCACACCATTCTGATTGATTTGCCAGGGATCAATTCCTTATCTAATTGCTCCCAATTTAAAAAAAAAAAATCAAAAGCATCCCAACAGGCTTTAATTGGGCATGTCTTGTGTTCTGGTTGGTAAAGGAAGGAGGATAAAGGGGGGGGGGAAGCCCTCCATTGCTGTTGATGCACTTTTGTGACAGAAGATATCCAGGAGATTCTAGGGACTTTCTCTGCATAACAACGACAGCTACTGACTGGATCTCCAAACTCGACATTAAACTTTGAAATGTTATTTCTGTTTTCCTCTTAGGTTTTCTTACTGCTCTTTTTTTTTTGATTGTTTTAAATGTTTTAACCTGTAAAAATGAAGTGTTTTAATACTGTGTGTGAGCAGCCATACGCTAAATAAATAAATAAATAAATAAATAAATAAATAAATAAATAAATGTGACTTGGATCTCTCCTCCTCCTCCTCCTCCTCGACAGACCAATATCGCCACGCGCTAAGGGTGTTGTATGAAGGCTCCCGTGTGCCGCCAAATTTTCCTCCTCGTCGCGCGGGACAGCACGGAAGCTGCCGTGGGGATGAGGGGCCAAACATTTTGCTTAGTCCGTTTTGGAAGAGAAATAAATAAAAAAATTCGCCTCCGCGGACGACATTGTGCAGAATTGCACAAGCATTTCGTTGGGTTTGCCGGGGAAATTGCCTAAGTTTCAACGCGAGGCTGCAAAAGAGAGAAGCCGCTGACACGTCGTTTCTTAAAAGCGTCTGCACAGAGGCAATATTTCTTTGACAGCTGGCAGCCTTGCATGGAAAGGAAAGGCAAGGAAAGGCAAAGAAAGGGTCATCGGGCTCTGCAGAAACGCGTCGCCATCATTGCATTCCTGGCTTGATCAAACCTTCTGGCACACACCGCCTCCGCGATTTCGAAAGAAGGGACCCTCTCGTCTCCCCCCCCCTTTCTGCTCCATTAAAAAGTTCAGACTTCGGACACCGTCGCCGGCTTTGGCCGCACTGGCTATCGACGTAACCGAGGAGGAAGAGAAGGGAGGGAAGGAGGAAGGAGGGAGGGAGGGACGATTTCCAGCTCGCCTCAGCTCAACGTCGGGAATCGGCCGGCGGTGCAAAAGGAAGGCGCGGCCGTCGGAAAAGCGCGCGAGCGCGTAAAACTGAAGGACCGGAGAGCCGGAGCTGGAGCTGCCCCGGGGTAAGGAAGGGCTTGGTGCAAAAGTCGATGGGGTTCTCCTTGTCACTGGGGGTTTCCTCTGCACCCCGCGCGTGCGCATGGAGGTTCTAGTGGGGGTGGGTGGGGTTCGTTTGAGGCTCTCTTTCCCTTTTTTAGGAAACCCCCCCCCCTTTTCTGATGTTTTTGGGGAGTGGGTTGCCTCTGCATTCTGGAAAGCGTTGCGCCTCCAGAGAGGATCCGGGCACACAGAGAGCCTTTGGGACGCGTGGGGTGGATTCCAATTTCCATCGCTTGTTTTAATCTAATTTAATTGAATCTTTATTATTGGGTACAGGTAGTCCTCGGTTTGCAACCGTTCGTTTGGCGGTTCACTTAGGTTCAAAGTTACAAGGGCAATGAAAAAAAGCGACTTGTGACCGTTTCCTCCCCCTCCCTTCCTCCCACACACACACTTAACGACCGTAGCAGCATCCCCATGGATCCCCAGCCGCTTGGCAACTGACTCAGATTTATGACAGTTGCAGGGTCCCCGGGGTTATTCGATTGGCTTTTGCGACCTGCTGACAAGCAGGGGAAAGCCGGATTCGTTTAATAGCTAACTAACTCAACAACTGCAGTGATTCACTTAACAACTGTGGCAAGAAAGGTCATAAAGTGGGGCATAATTCACATAACAATGGCCTCGTTGAGCAACGTAAATGTTGGACTCAAATTATGGTCGTGCGTCGAGGATTACCTGAACTTTGCCAGATCTTTGGGCCACGAGTGCTGGGCAGATCTGATGGCCTGATCCCATTAATCCCTCAATAGTTAACTTAGTTAACCCATTGTTAACTATTAGTTAACAAGAGATTGGCTGGATGCTGATGGAGTAGTTGAGTAGTAATAATACGTTATAATTGAAAGGAAGTCGGATGTCTTGGCCAGGGTTGAATGATCCTCCAACTACGCTGATTTTCTGTCACTAAAGAAGGCAGTTATCAGTTTTTTAAAAAATATTTTTTATTCTACCTTTAAGTAATTCAAGGTGGTGCACCAGTGGTGAAATCCAAATTTTTTTATTACCGGTTCTGTGGGCGTGGCTTAGTGGGCGTGGTGTGGCTTGATGGGCATGGCAGGGGAAGGATACCGCGAAATCCCCATTCCCTCTCCACTCCTGGGGCCAGCCAGAGTTGGTATTTGCCAGTTCTCTGAACTACTCAAAATGTCCCCTCCCGGTTCTCCAGAACCTGTCAGAACCTGCTGGATTTCACTCCTGTGGTGAACGTACCTAATATTCTCGTTTCCTCCTATTTTCCCACAACAACAACAACCTTGTGAGGTGAGTTGGGCTGAGAGAGAGTGATTGGATCAAAGTCATCCAGCTGGCTTTATCGAAAGCATACAAAAAGTAGTGACACCCAGCGCTTGGCTGTCACCAAAGGAGAAATTTGCAAAGAAGCAATGAGGTTGCTTCCTCAAATGTTATGTGCAAATAAGTGTGAGCCCTGTTGCTATATATAGAAAGACTTCTCTGGTTTAGAAACCATGTCAGAATGCCACAGCTGACACTTGTGGTTAACTCAGTTCCTAATATCTACAGCATACCAAAACATCCGTTGCCCTTAAAAAAAAAAAAATGGAAGGAGTGGGCGACAAAATATTTGACCAAGTTTGTCATGCGCCTATATTCTTATGACCCGGAAAAGAAGGGAAGTGTAACTACTGGGTCTTAGGATATTGAGATTGATTTTGGCCACATCCAAAAGTAGCCTTTTGAAGGGTCCTTGGAGCACTCTGAGCTTGGTTGTTTTCTTGCAGGCATTTCATTAGCCTAACTAGGTAATATAATCAGTGCTAGTCAATGAAATTTTGTGTACTGAAACATCTGCAAGAAAACGAACAAGCTCAGAGAATACTAAGGGCCTCTTATTTCAACTCTGAGCTACAAATATTCTCCTTTATTGGCAGCCTATTGAATTTTGTTTCAAATCTTGCTGGTGCCCACTATCGTTTTGCTTCAGCTAATGAAAACTCTGCTTTTTTAGCTTAAATGAAATAATTACCATTATTTATTTTGAGTTTCTTTATTCTGTGGTCTGCCGTGCCACCACACACACATACAAAAACAGAGGGGGCACATTATCAGAAAAATAAAACTTTTATTCCCTAGTACTCTAATGCAAATAAATAAGAAATAATGGTATGGGCATTCAAGTTTTTAAAATGTGGTTTTCATGTTTTGTTTTGTTTTTTGCTTTAGCACAATTTGTAAGTTGTTAGTGTGATGTAGAAATGCTTTGAAGAAAATAGCTAGCAGGTAAGAAATGATTCCTTTCTATTAGAATTTTGAGGTCAGGCTTTGGCTTTTGAATTAGTATTTTTGTCTTTTCAGAAAGAAACAGAAAAACAATGAATACATATATATTCAGCTATTATTTAATTCAGTTTTGCGGACATTCATGGATATTTACCAATATGTTCATCAGATTCCTTTCATTTGGGGAAGGTAGGCTCATGTCATACATTTTACCTTTTGCTAAAGCTTGTTAGTAAACGAATTAAGTATTAACTGAAGTAGATCTAACAGTGATATTGCTCTAGAAATTTGGACTTGAAAGTCTAAAAACCTTTTTACCCATAGTTAATATGTATGAGTTAAAATTCCCCCCAAAGGCAAAAAATAAAATAAGAGAACTATTGTATTTATATTTTTATTAACTGAGAAGCTATTTTGAAATTAAAATGGTGACAATAGAACTATAAAATCAGTTTCCTGGTTGTTATTTCTCAAAATTACATTCAGGAAACCATGGTTTATTTGTTTTTAATTATCCATTTATTTACCATGATGATGGTCTCTCCATTTCTCAAAAGTCACTCCAGGTTTTGCTGTTCATATTAAGGTAGATAGATATAGGATGGATGGATGGATGGATGGATGGATGGATGATAGATAGATAGACAGACAGACAGACAGACAGACAGACAGATCAACACTGTCAAACTATTCACTAAGTCTGCATTGCTATTACTATTAGTCTTCTCATCGTTCCTATCACCCATCTCCTCCCACTTGTGACTACATGACTGTAACTTTGTTGCTTGTATCCTTACGATTTATATTGATTGTTTCCTAGTATGATTTGATTGCTTATTTGTACCCTATGACTATCATTAAGTGTTGTATCTTATGATTCTTGATGAATGTATCTTCTCTTTTTATGTACTCTGAGAGCACATGCAACAAAGACAAATTCCTTGTGTGCCCAATTATACTTGGCCAATAAAGAATTCTATTCTATTCTATTCTATTCTATTCTATTCTATTCTATTCTATTCTATTCTATTCTATTCTAGATAGATAGATAGATAGATAGATAGATAGATAGATAGATAGATAGATAGATGATAGATAGATAGATAGATAGATCTCTATAAATTGCTTATAATCTCCTTGGTTATTATGACCTATAGTTTGAAATAAGGTTAACTAGAGAAATAGCTGTGTGAGCCAACAAGCTGGTTAAGACTGTACAATTATTCCATTTGTATGGGTAAAGCATAATGTGTGTGTGTGTGTGTGTGTGTGTGTGTGTGTTTTGGCAATTTCAATTAGCCAAACCTGAGCCTTTTTCCAGGTGATTCTGAATGGAAATGAGATTAAAAAAACAAAAACAAATTGTCCCCATACTTTTGCAATATATATTCATTGATAATGATCAGTCTTAATTATGCAGGGATTGGTTTCGGAAGGAAGTTCTTCTCTTACATGTTTTGAACTGTTTATGTACTTTTCATTCCCTTTTCAATCTTAGGATCCCCCAAGGCCCCTAATATCTTATCCTTGTTTGTACATGGTGTTATTTTAGTAAAGTTATTATTCAATATGAGAACATCCAAGCAGCCTTGACATCTCCCAATTACAGTTGACTTTTAGCAAGATTAATTTAGGTGTTGTTTTTTTAAAACTCAGTTTTCTGCATGTGCAAGCTTATGCAATTCTGAACCAATTAGTATAGTTATTCCAGTAAAACTCAAACAATTAATCATCTAGGGACTTCTTTTTTTTCAACCTTTTAATTCCTAACACATTGCATATGCCCAAGCCATTTAGTTTAATCAACTGATCAAAGTTGATAAGAATATTGGAAAAAGAGAGAGGTTGTAAGTAATTGTAACTGACTGTTCACTTCCTATATAATAGAAATGACATCAGGCCAATCCAGCTAAAGTAAATCATGACTAAGTTACGTTAAATGCACATTAATCAAATGGATTAAAGCCCCAGTGAACAATTGCTGGTAGACCCGGGATCTGAAAACCCTATAGCATTTAATTGCACTGGAAAAGCTTTGAACCCAGTTTTAGAACATGTGGAACTTATTACTCTGAGAAAAACCTAACATTTTGCATCTGAAAATACAGAGGAAATGATCAGTCCACAATCAAGTATTGATATAGCAATAAATCAAGTCCAGCAAAAAAGAACTATATTGAATAATGACCTATTATTTTAATCAATCTTGCATGAATATAGTCTACGTAAAACTGAACTAGTTTAGAACGCACAGCAGCACAAATGTAGCTACATACAGTACTTGGGATGAAATTACTGGTAGATTAACACAATGATTTGTTATCCAAAGAAAAAAGAGAGAGAATATTATTTACAAATGTACAGGTAATCTTCAACAATCTTTAATGCCAGTTTTGGAAAGTGGGCAAATATTAACATCCTTCCTCTTGAAGGTCAGTGGGAAGAAGGAAGAGTGCGACAAAGGGAGTGTCCTAAAAATTTAAAGCAGTGTTTCCTATTTTTCCTTTTGCATCTGTAGATTCTGTTGCAGACACTTTCCATTCTATTGGACTTGTGATGCGTATTTGCCAGCTAGTATCTATACTAGAGCTTCTGCATATTCGATTTGGCATTGAGAAGGATCAGTTTTTTCCAAGATTCTTACAGGTATGGGCAAACTATCTTCATATTCAAGAAGATTAGGACTTTGATATTTGGAATTCAGTCTCATTGGTTATTCTTACTGTTCCTAAAATCCCACTCCAGATACTTGTGATGAAACTGAATAAACCCAACTTGGAAAGTCAATGAGAGAAAGTTCACACATGACTGTTTATTCACCATAGGAAGGCAAACCTATCTGAGTGCACATCCGAGGTTATACAGTACCTGAAAGTCGCCTCTGATAATTTTCATGCATGTGGTTTGTGTTGCCTCTAACTGAAGAAATTAGGAGGTGTTGTCTTTGTTTTCATTACTATGTGGGAAAAATAATTGAAGTAATTTCAATCACTCTGTAAAAATAGTGAACTTATATAGGAATCCAGAATATGAATATTATCTGGACTAATATCCAAATGGGGTGATTGCATATTTCCCCTCGCCAAAGCATGTAAGTGCTTGTTGCATATGAATTTCAGGTTACACAACTCAGTTAGTTTTGCTCCTGTCCTTGGATCAAGGAGGGGAATCTCTACTACCTCCAGATGTTCCTGGAATCTAGTTTTCATCATACCCAACTACTGAATGAGTAGTTGATTCCGTGCTAATCTTAGCTCATTCAGTAGTTGGGTATGATGAAAACTAGATTCTAGGAACATCAAGCTTTTTAGTGTTTCAGATCTTGTTCTTATCAACCTTACACCCAGCATCTTTATTTATTTGTGTATTAAATTAAATTTATATGTGGCTTATGATCCTACTACCATACTAGAGCCAAATCAATCAGTCTCTGTAGCTAATATTCAGATGTTTTGAATCATATAGATGCAGTTCGTTTAGTGACCGTTCGAAGTTATAACGGTACTGAAAAAAATGACTTATGACTGTTTTTCAGAGTTATGAACATTGCAGCATCCCTGTGGCCATGTGATTTACATTCGGATGCTTGACAACTGACTCACATTTATGACAGTTGCACGTGATCCAGGGGTGAAATGCTCCCGGTTTGGAAGTGATGGAGGCGGGTGGTTCGGAGAACCAGTAGCAAAAATCCCCGCCCCGCCCCCCCATGCCCAGCTGAGCCGCACAATCATCAGAGGCTTTTTTTTTTACTTTTAAAAGCATTTTTTCTACAACTTCGGCCAAAAAAATGCTTTTAAAAATAATTTTAAAAAGCCTCTGATGATTGCGCGGCTCGTCAAAGGCATTTAAAAGAAAAAAACCCTTGTTTTCTTTTAAATGCTCTGACGATCCAAGCTGAGTTCCCTGATCAGGGAATTCAGCTTGGATTGTCAGAGCATTTAAAAGAAAACAAGGGTTTTTTTCTTTTAATGCCTTTGACGATCCCAGCTGAGTTCCCTGATCGACAGAGGCTTTTTAAAGCCTCTGCAGATCAGGGAACTCAGCTTGGATCCTCAGAGCCTTTTGAAAACATTTTTTTACAACCTCTTAGCCAAAGAGGTTGTAGAAAAAATGGTTTTAAAAGTAAAAAAAAAAAAAAAATGGCCACACCCACCCAGGCACATTACCCCCCACCAAGCCATGCCCACAGAACCGGTAGTAACAATTTTAGATTTCACCCCTGATGTGATTCCCTTTTGCTACCTTCTGACAAGCAGAGTCAATGGGGAAACCAGATTCATTTAAAAACCGTGTTACTAATTTAACAACTGCAGAGATTCACTTAACAAATGTGGCAAGAAAAGTGGTAACATGGGACAAAACTCACTTAACAAATGTCTCAGTTAGCAACATAAATTTTGGGCTCAATTGTGGTCGAGGACTACCTGTACAATCGCTTTGTACAAAGACTTTGGCCACTCTTACAATAAACCACTGGTTATTGTGTATACCTTCAAATTATCCCAAAAGTCCTGGCAAAATAACATACTGTTTAATTACAGTTTTCAAAGCCTACTGGGAAGGAACACGTAAGATATCCATTCCAATAACAGTTATCTGAGCAAAAATGAATGAAGAATAATAATGGATCTAACACTGAAATAATGGCTGTTTTCCTTTTCTGCCTTTTTTTTGTCAAGCATCTGGCTGCCTAGAGGTTATAGTTCCTTTTAATAGAGGTCCTAATTGACTAGATGCCCATAGCTGCATACAATTAAGTTAAGGGATACACATGGCCTTAAAAGGCCACAGGTTGCCACCTCTGCCCCAGTCAAGTCAAATGAGCATTCGGGAAATGGTTGTTTTGCAAAACAGTCAATTTTGGCTCTCAAAAGACCTGTGCAAAAGCGAAAGGGCATAAGTCAAAGAAAAGAATTTGGAACGATTTATTTATTTATTTATTTTAGAAAAACTTGGTTAATTAGTGACTTGAAAGGAAAGGGAGAGAAACAAATTAACTAGAACGAAGATACGTTTTTTTGCATTTCTTCAATAGAATTTGAATTTGAGAAAATGAATTTGTAGGATAAATTAAGAACAATAGTATAATCAATATACCACACAAATGCACAAGATAATGATATTTTAAAAATAATTTTAGAATATGCTGTTTTTCTTTTGTGGGAAGATTGTCAGCTTATATTTCAGCCTAGGCTTCTGATTATGCCGTAATAAATATAATGCTGAGTCAGAAGGTGCTTACTTACACACGCTAAATTTAGTGAGATTGACAATACAATTTTATGGATATCTACGGTACTTAGATTACACTAGAAAGATGCATTGTGGGATGCCCTATTCACTACATAGGTAGGGAATTATAATTTTTTAATTATTTACCTGGGGAACATAGTTGTTGAACTCTATGACATTTTTAGGATAGCACTGTTAAATATTTTTCTCTGCCTATATCCCCCCACACAATCCCTTTTTACTAGAATTCATAGTAATAGAGAGCTTAACATGAACATGAATTGGTTTTAGATCTTAATTCTGGATACCATTTTAATGTTCCCAATTAAAAACATGGGTAATAAAAATGCTCAGTTCACAGTGGATCAGAGTTTTGGAAAATGAGATGAGAAATATGATCAGAAGACAATCAGAAGGTTTTAGCAAATTTTATAAAAGCTGCCACTTTCCATCATCAATACATTCTCTATAAACTAAACCTGCATCATTTTTTTTTTCCTCCTTAAAACTGAAGAAACCATCCTCCAATACAGGAATAGGCAACGAAATGCCCGCCAGATATTTTGAATTTAAATACTTATTAGTTAACATGGCTATGATGTCAAATAGCAATTCATTATTGGACTTGGAATTCAAAAGATATGCAGGGCAGAAGTTGGTTATTTCTGGCATAATGTTTGGGCTCAGTCTATCAACTCCATATTGCAAGTGAATCTTAATCATGTTTCCTAGTAGTCTACCTGTAAATGGTGACAATATTTAAGCAGTGGTGGGTTTCTACTGGTTTGCCCCAGTTTGGGCGAATCGGGAGTGGCAGTGGTGAGAGGCTCCACCCACCCACCCGGTCATCATCATGGATGCTTTGTGCATACGCAGAAGCACCACGTACGCGCTCCCAATTCCAAACCGGTAGCGAAGGTAAGTGGAACCCACTACTGTATTTAAGCAATATAAAAATGATACCAAACTGTCACAGTATTAAATAGGCAACACATAGACAGTGCCATCCAATCATTTCTAGTTCAAACCTCCTGCTTCTTCCTAACTGATCTTCGACAAACTAAAATAAACTTGACGATACCAAAAAGAAGAAAAACGTGTTTATACAAATCATTAAAATCAAATTTTAAACAGCAAATTAAAATGAGATCATATGATATCATATTATCTAAACTTGCCTCCAGGAATACAAAGATGATTCAAGGGTTGAGAATTGATAAATTTGATTTGGCCAACCTTTGAAGAGTCTGGTATATACATGTGTCCTTCCTATGAGCATTTTTTTTCCTTTTGCAACAGTTAAGGCAAAATAAATCCAGAGGTTTTCACGCAAAATTTTCAGATTATTAGAACATAATTTAACAACAGATTAGCATCTTTAAATCTTATTTTCCTCCCAAGAACTTGATTCACTAGCTTGAAAGGTATTGCAGGTGAACATGACCGAAGCATGTGCACAAATATCGTGTTTCCCTGAAAATAAGACCCTGTCTTATATTTTTTTGAACCCTGAAATAAGCGCTCGGCCTTATTGCCATGCGCTCAAAAGCCCAATTGGGCTTATTATCAGGGGATGTCTTATTTTGGGGGAAACAGGTATTCCCCCAAATTTGTGCTATATGAATGTACTTTTTTGCTTGAGTTTCTTGAGTTAGGCGTGAAGCCATTTCACACCCTCCATATATAAGAACTAACTAGCCCAGTATGTTCAATTTATTTTGACACCACTGCTGCTGAGCTATGGGCGAGAGTGGAAATCTAGTTAGGGAGTTCAGTGCTTCGCCCTCCAATTCTTTGATACTTCTTCCTGGATTTAGGATCGGCTGCTTGAGACAATTGTGCTTAAAGATAAAAACTGGCTTTATTTGGATGAGCTAGTTCTATCCCTGTACAAAAAGGAATGTGTGTAAGATATTATGATGAAGTTGTGGTTGGTTACAGTCAGCCACATGTTTAAACGGGATTCGGCATTTTTATTTCATTTTCTGTTACTTTGTCTATTTTGTGGTCTCACCAGTTCTTGCTTGCTGGCAAATGGTATATATCTTGGAGCTATGTCAATGCACCATTGTTGCTTCTTTTGTCATGCTGTTGTTTGTAATCAGACCGTGCAATCTTCTTGCAGCAACCACCAAACTAGGTGGTCCCCTTTCTTCAGCTTCTTTTCAGAGGTGGCATTTGCTGTCTGCTGCTGTCTTCTCAGTTTTGTCTTTGGAGCATTTGGTTCTTAAAGCTTGATCTGGTGCAGTCAGGATTAGCCCCTCTGTCTCTTTCTTCAATTTTCCAGCTCTTAGTCATTCTCAGATTATATGCTTTGACTCAGTGGTGAAATCCAATTTTTTTTTACTACTGGTTCGGTGGGCGTGGCTTGGTGGGTGTGGTGTGGTGTGGCTTGGTGGGCATGACAGGGGACGGATACTGCAAAATCTCCATTCCTTCCCCACTCCAGGGGAAGGATACTGCAAAATCCCCATTCCCACCCTACTCCAGGGGAAGGATACTGCAAAATCTCCATTCCCTCTCCACTCCAGGGGAAGGATATTGCAAAATCTCCATTCCTACCCCACTCTGGGGCCAGCCAGAGGTGGTATTTGCCGGTTCTCCAAACTACTCAAAATTTCCGCTACCGGTTCTCCAAACTGCTCAAAATTTCCACTACCAGTTCTCCAGAACCTGCTGGATTTCACCCCTGCTTTGACTATTATTTTTTTATATATATACTGGGCATGTAATACTTTGCCTTGCTATGTCTCTTTCTGTTTTTCATTTGGTCTTTCTTGTAGGACAGTTCCGTCTCTCCAGGACTCAGTAGCATACTTCATAGCATACGAGCTTCTGTGCATTTTCTTTAGTGTCCTTCAGATATTCTTCCAATGCCCCTTTTCTTCTTCAGCTGTTTGGTGTACTTGCAACATTCCATTCTCAGAGTCTGTCAGTGTTCCTACATGGATGAAGGGCATGATTCATTGTCATTATTTTTCCAGTCCTTACCTGCGGAGCCAGGCACTGTGGTATTTCATAATTGACAAATGGAAATGTTGTTAATATGTAGATTTTCTAAGTACTGTCTAAGACTTTTAGGTATGGCACCCACTGGGATCACCATGACTGGTGTATGCCATAATCCTTCAACTTTGATTTTTAGATCTTGATACTTTATTATCTTCTCCAATTCTTTACCTTCTATTCTACCATCCCGTGGTATTGCCACATCAATTACCCACTTTCATTTTTTCAACCACAGTTAAATCTTGGGTGTTATGAGCCAAAACCATATCAGTTTGTATTCAAAATCTCACCCTATTTTAACCTGCTCATTTTTTACTACTTTATCAACTATATATTCTCAACCACTTTTTCATTATTGGCAAATGATTGTTTTAACAGATGTTCCAGTGAATCATTTTGGTGACTGCAGTGCCATTGTTTATAATAAGTTTGTGCGGTTTTCCTGCATAAACTGAGTATATGATCTGAGTATGTAATGAATGACTATCACTCATTCGGTGCTATTATAACTTGTAACAGTCACCGAACAAGTGGTCAGCAAGCAAACATTATAACACTGAACATTTTGTTCAGTAATTCAAGACAGGATATATCATATTCCCAATTCCAGTTTTTTCTCCAAAGGTTTGTTGAGTTATTAGGCTATTACATACTGACTGATCTAAAGTCTCTCTGTGACTTTCCATAATTGAAGGTGAACTATAACCTGCATTCTTGGTTTCTGCCATCACCCCTTTTAAAAATGCGATCTTTGTGGGTTAATCAGATTAGAATTGTGTCTGGACATGACACACATTGAATAAATTGCATTTTTCATGGGGGTGGGGAGATGGGAAGGCTGGAGGTGAAAATCTCGCTAGAACAGAATGTAAACAGAATTTCCTAACCAAGTTGGGATTTGAAGCACACTATATATTGGTAATTGTTGTTTTAATTGTGGGCTATTAATTGATTTAGTATCTGCTGTTACACTGACTAAGCCACAAAGTAGCACCTCAGAAACCTGAATGTCTGCTTAAAATAGGGTAGGAAATAGGATATAAAGGTAGAGGGAATTCAAGAACAATAGTACAAATGAAAAAGAAGGCATTTTTGCATACATTTTATAAAATAGTGGCATGACTTTTCAGTTTCTGACATCCGATTATAGAAAACAGGATATGGAATTTGGATTTTGAACTTCAGTCTTTTTTAAAAAATGAAAACCAACAAAATGAATATAAAAATGCGCAATTTCAAAAAATTATCTACAGGTAGTCCTTGTTTGCAGTTGGGACCAGCAACTGTCATTAAATGAAACTAACTGGGAAATCACATGTCCTCAACTGTGCTTTCCTTTTCTTTACTTTTCTGCCCTTGGTAATGCTTATTCTAGTGAAGTGGTTGCTAAGTGAAATATCATGATTTTATTATTTTATTTCATCTTTCCTTTGCTTTACAGACCTGTGACGGTCATAAATGTGGGGACTGGTTGCAAAATTACTTTTTCATCACCATGTTAACTGCGGAAAGTTGCTAAACCAAGCAATTAAAGCAAGGATTGCCTGCATATGCTTGACTAAAGACTAGTGTTTCATCCCAGTTCTAATCTGTAGCTAAACTTAATTCTGGCTTGCATAAAATAAGTCACCTTCACACTATATTCATATACTCAGGGTTCTGCAAACCTGCTACACATTTTTTTTTCAATGGCAACTGGATTGTTTTGAAATTTAGTGAGCGGGCAAATAATACCACTTATTAATGGATAATGATCTACTTTGCGAACTACAGTATTGTGTTTCCTAAGAAGACAGCAGAAGCATTTAATGTCAAAACTAAAATAGTGAAAAGGCGTATTTTATTGTCTGAGTATTTAATGCATCCAATGCTGCACTGCTGCAGCTGTGTTTACATAATATTCTGACTAGACAAACATCTTTTAATTTAACATGGTATGTGTATTCCGCCTCTCCGCTTATATGTCAAACCCAGAAAATTAGGGTGAGTAAATAACTTAATTAACTGAAGGGCTTATGTCACATAACTACAGGCCACTTGTATTCTACGATACAACCTTTACCGTAATTGAAAATAGTACCTCCTGTGGCCGCTTTTATCGTACTGACTGTCCAAAGAGAACAAATTGAGAAATAAACTATTTTACTTTTTCCAGATCACAGAAAGAATTGTCATCTTATTTGTTGCAATAGCAAGTCAAGAAGAAGTTCAAGGGAAAGGCATTGTATGTGTCTTATTTTTCCTTTGGAGTTGCATTGATGTCATCAGGTGAGAATTTAATGCCACTCCTGGGGAAACACAGCCAAGACGTTTTCCCATATTTATCTTCCCTGTATGGAATTCACTGTTATTATCTGGGAGGCTTCCTTTGCAACATAGCTCAGAAGATAAGGATGTGTGTTCTCTTTACCAAAAACATTCAGCCTTTTTAACTATAGATCGCATATTGTCTTCTTTTATGGAACATTATCAATAGAGAGCAATAACCAGAATATTAGAATCCAAGTTTTTGGTAATATCAGAATACCCAGAACATCCGAATACTGCAAACACATCATTAATGAAATCAGTTGCTTTAGACTCTGTTAATTCCTGAGAATTGAGGCAACACAAAAACATTGTATGATTCAGTGAGCAAAAATGTAAGCAAACTAGTTTCTCGAAGTTCCTGCAATTTATTGGAGCCAATAAAAAAACAGACGGTCACTGCTGATTAATTCTGATTTCTATGAAACCTAGCAAATGTTAAAAGAGTTGACCAATCAAATCACCCTTCCCAAATCTGTTTTTACCTATTCAATTCGGTCGGGCTGCAGTTCCCATCTGCCATGGAATGTCAGCTGGCGAGAACCAGGGCCTTCTCTGTCATAGGTCTCAGCCTTCTGGAATATTCTTCCTTTGATATCCAGATGAGTCCAACCCTGTTGGCCTTTCATAAGGTTGTGAAGAAAGGGTTGTATTTGTGAGCCTGGGACCTCAAGTGTGTAAAGGGCTGTTTCTTGGTTGCATTAGCATCCACAGTAGCAGCTTTCTTTGGTGCCAAATACTGTATTTTTCGGAGTATAAGCCACTCAGGACTATAAGACACACTTACCTTTTTTGGTGAGGAAAAGAAGGGGAAAAAAAAATCTGCCTCTGCATCCCAGCAATTTTGCCTCGTTGCAGCAAATAGCTTGCTTTACTTTCATTTTTGTTTTCAGCATAGCTTGATAAGGACAAGGGGGAAAAAAATCTGCTCCAGCAATTTACCTCTTTACAGCAAGCAGCAGAGCCCTGCACAAAACAGCTGAGAGTTGGGAGGCCGATCCAACGGACAATCAACTTGTGCTAATTAGGCTGTGCTGAAGCTGAAATGGGCTGTTTCTTCTTGCTGCTTGCTGCAAGAAGGTAAATTGCTGGGAAGCAGAGGCCAAAGGGTAGGGGCCAGTGGGTGGGTGGGGCTACATTCGGTGTATAAGACACACCTAAATTTTCACCCCCTTTTAGGTGGAAAAGTGTGTTTTATACTCTGAAAAATACAGTATATTTATTTTGTAGTGTTTTAATTGTTCTAATAGTTTTAATTGTGTCTTATGAAGTATGCCACCCAGGATTACTTGCTGAAATGGGTGCAGAGGTGGTATTCAGCAGGTTCGGACCAGTTCGGGCGAACCAGTAGCGGAGATCGCGGATGGGCACATGCACCTGCCCTGGCGCTATGCTGTCCTATTTAGCCATGTTTTTTAGGCCAGGCGCATACACGTAAGGCACCTGCGCGAGCAAAGCGCATGTCCTGAAGGTGCACATGTGAAGCGAGCGTGCACGGGGCGAACCGGTGGTGAAAATAAGTGAAACCCACCGCTGGATGGGTGGTTATTAGAAATCACATGCATTCATATATCCTGTTGACCAGGATTCAAATATAATCATTTGATCATTTCTAGTAGTAGTTTTCTAAGTTGGAACAATGGCAGTTTTAACAACTGCAGGGAACCTGGGTTATGAAGGCTGCATGGGATTCATCTGCCCCATAAGCAACCAGTACTAATCATGTTGATACCATATGCATTACTTATTTGATAACATGGCACACATGACGCCACTCCCCTGCCCTGTTTTTCCTTCTAGGTACACATATTGCATATTATTGGAGACGGGGATATATTTTCAAGGACTAGCGTGGCTCTACCATTCGCTATGGATTCCTTTCTATCCTCTCTCTGTTTTGGCTCAAGGTAAGTGGAGGAAGAGGCTATAATTTCTGAGATTGCAATTCTGCACAGGTAGTCCTCGCTTAATGACCCTAATTGGGGCCAGAATTTCCATCACGAACCAGAACGATTATTAGGTGAAACATCATGTGAACGCATGGCAGTTCTGGCAGTGGTTGTTAGGTGAGGACCATGTTGTTGTTAAGTGAGGAGCTCATGCTTTTCTCCTGCTGTACTTGCCTCCATTCAACGTCCGCCTCACCTATGGAGGCGCCCATCTCTGCCCTTTTGGTCACTCTGCACTCCACTCTTGGCCATCTTTTCCCTCCTGTGGCTAATGATGCATTCCTAGCTGAGGCAGCTGTTGGCCCTTCGTGCAACTTTAAGACTTGTGAACTTCAACTTCATGGAATTCTGGGAGTCGAAGTCCACAAGTCTTAACGTTGCCAAGGTTGGACATCCCTGGGGTAGAAGAACGAACTTGTGCTCTTCCAGGTGTACTAAACCACAGCTCCCAGCTATTGGCTATACTGTATAAGCTATGAAAATAGGGATCCAACATATCTAATCTGGAGATTAGCCACTCCTGTTCTATAATGGAAACTTCTAATTGTGAATCTCTAGTCCTGCTTGAAACCTGAGCCTAACCTATATCTATATGAATTGAATATATTATGCAGAAATGAGACATTTTTACATATTTGGAATTTTTCACTTGGCTGATTTTTCTTCTTTTTGTCCCCCAGCATTTGCCATATATGAATCATTGCCTCATTTTGAAACCTCAGGCACTTATTCCATCCGAATACTCTTTCCATTTGATCTAGCTATTTACTTTCCCTATGTACTGAAAATTTACATGGCAATGTTATTTGTGGGTAAGTTCTTTTATTTCTTAGCAAATACACCAGAGGATGTATATGTAAGGCATTGGCAGGATTGGGTACTACACTCCCATCCCTCACTGGGGCCTGACTGGTACAGGAAGATCTTTATTCACACAAGCCTCCCCTCTCTCATTATACCAGTGTAGTGTTTAAAGGTATTCAGCAGTTACATCAGATTCCTGGTCAAACTATATACTAACTCTGAATCAGCTATAAACAGATGGGTACAGTATATATTAATGCAAAGCTCTCATCAGCTATAGTGTGTTTTCCCACATATACTGAATCCCAAATGGAAATAATCATGCCTATTTCTTTAAATGATTTAAATGACAATGTATTTCTTAATTGTCAGAAGTGGGCTACTCTATCAGGAGCCGTGGTGGGGCAGTGGTCAGAATGTAGTATTGCAGGCTAATTCTGCTGACTGCCAGGAGTTTGATTCTGACCGGGTCAAGGTTGACTCAGCCTTCCATCCTTCTGAGGTCGGTAAAATGAAAAACCAGATTGTTGGGGGCAATAGGCTGACACTATAAACCGCTTAGAGGTCTGTAAAGCACTATGAAGTGGTATATAATTCTAAGTGCTATTGCTATTTTGTGTGTTCAGCTATTTGGATATATGTATACTTATATATGTACTGTTCAGAACACAAATTAATATTGCCCAACACATGGGTGTCAAACTCGCCATGTCACATTGATGTCACATGACATTGCGATGTTTGCCTTCATGGAGCTGGGGTGGACGTGGCCTGTGCATGATGCATCTGGCCCACGGGCCACCAGTTTCACATATCTGATCAAAAAGAATGAGGATTGTCCTGCTGTCATGATGATTTTCCTAACACCATTTCAAGTAATTTTGAGCCTAATTTCCATCTTCATTTTGTTAGTAGTCCTAGTACAGATTTTATTTTTTTCTGAAGATATTAAACAATAGGAAACAAAGAATCTTGGAGGTCTAAGCAAAGATCTCTGTGGCTACTGAATCAGGAAAATGTGCTAATTTTTTCTAAAATGTAAGTTGCTGTAGGTTAAATAAATAATTTCATTCATTTTAAAATAAATACATTTGAACAACTTTAAGGTCTGAGGATTTGGGAGAGAGACTATTATTTGATAAGAGTAATGCTATTATGTACTTTATGTTTCTTTTTTTCTTTTTATGTTTCAAACACTGTGGTTTGGGTTTAGGTGCATACTTCATTGTTCAATATCTTTATATGGAACGGAAGACTTATCTAGGAAGCAACAACATCAAAGAGAAAAGAAGCTAACTCACGTTTTCGGTGGGAAATGACAAATTTCACCTTCCTATGAAACAGCCTTTGCAACAATTACCAATGTATCTAGTCATTTGGAGATTTCAAGTTTAAAAAAGCACACTACACTTTCTTAGCAATTAGATCGTCACTAACAGACTTTGTATACAGAGGCACACCAGGCAGAATCAAAAGAATTCCTTGTCTGCGTAAACACGCTTTCAATAGCTTTCTCATATTCAGTGGAATGCAAAAGCTACGTGCTCTATTGCTGTTACAGTTAATGAGAACATTACCTCATTTAAAAGGCAGGATATTATGTGCATGCATGTGTGTGTATGTATATATATACACACTGGAGAATTCTTTTAAAGTTATCTAGGAGGTGTTCATTGTTTCGGACGCTGCCAAAAAGCACCACAGCCAAAACGACCTTATTCTTCCAACCTAAGTTTTTTTCAATTGGTTTGAAGAAATATTATGTGACAACCAGAAAAAATGATACAATTTGATAGCAATAATTAACCTTTTTAAAAGTAGGATATATTGTCGGGCATTTTGTGTGCGCCTAAAATTTTGATTATATGTCTGGTGATATGTTGCAAATCGTAACATGTATCCACCCAAGTATAGATAAAATAGGAATGGGCTTTCTATAACTCAGGAACCTTATTTATTCCCAAATCTGTATTTTGCTATTCTGGAGCTTCTTAGGATAATGCCATTGAAATTTAATGGCAAAAGGCTTCTTATCAGCCACATGATTTTAAATATGTTTTTAGGATTTTCAAAGTAAGTATGCTAAGCCTTTCAAAACCTTAAAACTCTGACTTCTTGTATTCTTTCTCTCAATCAGCCACATCCCTGAAATGCTGAGGTTGAAAAGTTATTTTTAAAATGGTGCTCACCCCTCTGTTAAAGCATACGTGTGAATGTATTCCTTATGATTAGTCGTTATATAATAGTAGCAACATTTTTGAAAGTCCTCCAAATTTCAACACTGATTGCCTTCTCCTTGTGACTCCTTATTTTTAATCTATATTTTTCCTTGGGGAAATCCTCCCTTTTCGTGTTCCATAGTTGCACTTCATTTCAGAAATGCATGTATTTAAAGGAAGAATAAAGTATGCTGAAATGAGTGGAGATTTTAGGGAGATAGAAATATTGATGTTCAAAACATTGGGAGATGGGTAGGGATAATAGGTAGAGAAATCTTGATATTAACTAGGTACAGAAACCAGAACTTTTTATATGAATGTTGTTGGATCAAATCCCTCCATCATGCTTCTGTAGCTTTTTTTCTGGGAAACTTTGTTTTGATCTGAGGCTTAAATATAGTTTAGGGTGCTAGGATCCTCTTCCATGTCTTCTCTATCACCATAAGTGAACTTTTTTTTTAAGTCTATGACCTCATATTTTGGAGCAAAATTAAATGCTTAAGGCAAGAAAACCTATCACTTGGCCATACAGAGGCCTAGTTCTGATTAAAATGACACACCTCTGTTTGAACTATACTCCTCCATACTTGTAGGCTCATTAATGTGAATGCATCTCCATATAAAACATTTTTTTCCACAGAGAAAACCAGTGCAAAATAGGATCATTTATTTCCATGTTGAAGGAACCCTTGGGGAAATACTTTCTTGTCAGCCTAATTTCCTTGGTACCGATAGTGGCAGTAGGAATATCAATGAACAGTGGGTAGCCGCATTGTCTAACAAATAAAACACATTCAAAAGTTCAATTTTTCAAGGCAACATCTTTAATCTTGCCACTCTAAAGTTGTCAAGTGCAATGCTGACCAACGTTTTGTGAAATCTTCTTGCCTTGTTTAAACTTCCTTACCCAACTCCCACTTTCTACTAGTAATTCTTTCTTTCTTTCTTTCTTCCTTCCTTCCTTCCTTCCTTCCTTTCTTCCTTCCTTCCTTCCTTCCTTCTTTTTCTTTCCTCTCTTTCTCATTAATAGAACAAATAGGGAGGATTTTTCAATATATATATATTCAAATAGGGAAGATTTTTAAGTCTCTTTCCCCAGGAAAAATAACAATATGTCTGTAACAGAAGCTCTTATTCCACAGCATAAAAGATTTTTAGCAAGGCATGTATCACCAACATATACGGTATCTGTTTCTTCATGATCCCTACCAGCCATAAGCTTTTGTCCATACTGCTTTCTTCTTAAACTCTGGGAGAGATCTCAGGGCCAATAAAGAAGCTGTTAAAAGAACACACACAATATCAGCAATGGAAACAGAAACAAGCCTTCTGCTTGTTGCCTGCCTGCAAGAGTTTGAAAGTCAATTAACTTCACAGGTAAAACTCCCTTGGATTAAATCAAAGGCCCATCAAACCCAGCCTTCTTTTTCTGAGAGCAGCAAGAGTTTACGGAAAATCCACAAACAGGAACTGAACAGAAAAAAACGCTTGAATTCTTCACATCTAGAAGCCAATAAAAGGCTCGTCCTCTAGGAAAAGTATTTATATGAAAAACATTTCAAAATCCCTGAAGTAGCCTTTTTTAGTTGATGTTAACCAAATTGTCCCCTCTTTAGCCAATACAGACAAAGGTCTGAGACCTGAAGCTAAAAGAGTACCCTCGACTGTCCACAACCTTATAATGTGATGTGTAAAATAAGTTTAAATAACTATCTTTTGTAAACATGTTTTGCTTTTAAATTGATATAAATCACCTTTTTTTTTACAAAAACAAAGCGTTATTATTTATCTAAGTTGGAAGTCTATAAGTAACTCAGTTTCTACCATACCTTTCAAAAGATCTCTGGAAGACTGAGTGAGCATTTCATTAGCATTCTCCATTAGGCTAAACAGCCAGTCAATAAACTGTGAATAAATTTAAAACTCAAATGTTAGAATTGGTTTTTTTTTAAAATTAAAATAACTCAATCAAGCCTTCTCAACTTTGTCTAGACATGTTGGAATACAGTTATTGCCATCTCAAAAGTCACCGATTATGTGGGTTGGTGCAGATGGGAAATGTAGTTCAAAGCATTGGGAGAGAGGGAGGGGTAACAAAACATTGGAGAAACCTGCTTTAATTAAAGTTGACAAGCTGATGCAGAAATTGTCATTATTGCTTAAAATATATATCTGGACTTCAATTATAAAGTCCAAACTGTTTCATAGGAAATGCATTTTAATGACAATTCAACAAACTCAAGATGAGAACAAAGAAATGTGTGGGTATTTAACCATTCCTTTGAAAAGCAAAAAAATAAACAAAACACAACTTCTTAGAAATGATAAAATAGAGACACATTAAATGGATTTATACTCTATCACATAATCTAATTCAAGTTCTCAACTCTACTGGCCAACTGTGATTGATACTACACGCTGATCTGTGTAATTATTTAGAGATAAGTGAGAGCTGCATGCTACCTTGCAAGTAAGGAAGAACAGCATTGCTCCTATTCTTTCAGGACTTTGAAAAATTAATTGTTGTTTGTAAACTTCCTGCAACGCCATATCTTAAAATCCTAGTTTGTAATTAATATTTATTTCCTAATATTATAAATCTGTTAGTGTTGGGCAGCGTTTCAAAATGAAAGGCATGCTAAATTTTTGCGCACTTCCTCGGAGCAGCAGTATCTCTTCCCAGGAATCTATGGCTACTTTCCAATGCAACCCCATAGCTCATGCCATCCTGGAAAGTATGAATTTCATTTAAAGATCTGTCAACAAGTTTTATATATACCTCTCTGTGCCCAGCCCTAATTTCAATCATGCTAAACTCTTCTCATATGGAGTGCTTTTCACTGGAATGATTTTGGGAGGATGCTGCAATTACCCACATGCCACTTAGAGAAGATACTCTGGGTGGACTACAGTTTAAACTGCCAATATTCCAAACATCTGTACGTCAGTCTGAACAAGTTCATAGCTAGGAAAGAGGTTACAATGTCCTTAAAAATGTATAGGGAAAGATGAAGATATGATGGGAATTCTTTCTTTCATCATTACATCCTTCTATAAAACACATACAACTATAAACAAACATAAATTGAAGTCAGATCCCAATATTAGAATGCAGACATGGTGGTCTTCTGGTCAAGAAGAGAATGTACCCACAGGTATGACACTTAATTTCTCAAAATATTTATGGATTTATTTAACGATTGCATTGATATACTGCTGCAGTCTACAGATACCCATTTCTACTATACTGTATGTGAGTCCAGCTGCTGGTAGATCAGAACCTGCAAAGGATACTTTCACATTGTGAGATCAGACTGGTGAGTGAACTAGTGTCAAGAAATGATATTGGCAGACTAGTTTTCATGATTTCTGTGCAAAACTTGGATGACTATTTTGCTCCATTAAAAAAAAACCCTTTTACTCTAAATTCGCTCAAGTTTATTTTTGTTACACAAACATTTTAATTGTCCCATTTAGTTGGTGGAACTTTCCATTCGCTGTTGTTCCTCTTAGTAGTTATTATGTAATTATTACTGTAAATGGCTTGGGTGACTTTTAGGATAAAAATTCCACCCAGATGCTGTCTTCTGAATGACAATATTGAGTTCAATCAATCAGTCAAAAAAATGTTCAAGCTCATCATGAGTTCAGTGGACATGTGCAACTTAAAACACGTACCTTTGGTGTTTGCTCTTTCCAAGGCTCTTTGGTCAATAGAATTTGCAAGCTACCTGGAAGAAGGGTGAGTATCTCTTTGACTGCCAAAGTATCCACTGGACGCTTGCCTAAGCCACGTGGAAGGACTCTGTCTATTGTTTCACACTGCCAGGCAGACCAGTCTGCACTAAGGCCAAGTAGCATTGGCAAGGCATGATCAGCCCAGGCAACCACACAAGCCGTGAAAATCCACAACAGGAAGCTGACAGCCTGAACAGGAAACAGATGCACATTTTGCTAAGGGGATCAGTGAAGTCTGGAAAGGACTAGAGTCACAATAATTTATAAATTATGGAGTTCAAACAATTAAGAAGAATAATGTTACCAGAACATTTTAATGGTCTTAAAGCTAGTATAATTTTTTTTAACATGAACTATATCAGGCTGGAAAAAAAGAAACCTTTATCTTTAATTGCTAGAAAGACCAAGTCAGCTTATAGAAATGACTAAGTACAATATTTTATAGTATATACTGTTGTAAGTAAGCCTGTTCGTCTAATATAAAAATTTCTGCAAAAAGCACTATTGGTGCACATTAACAATGCAATAACTATAACACAGGGAGTTCCAGACTTCAAATCTGGAGGATCATATTTTATGAGCACTGACATTTTCTTATAAATGGGATGCACCAGTTTGTAGTCTTGTTGGTAAGATAAAGATGGTGGCTACTTGGGCTGTGGTATGGTGGATACAGTCTTGGACTGGCACTGGGAAAACCCAAGTTCTAGCTCATCTTCAGACCGCTATGTGACTTTGGGCCAGTCACTTTCTCTCGACCCAGCCTACTTCATAAGATGGTTATGCAGGGCAAAATTGAAGCAGTGACTGTTTTGTATACAGCCTTGAATCCTAGGCGGGATATGGATCTAATGGATACGTAAGCAATAAAAATAAGCCTTCACCAATTCAAACTTGAAGGCCAAATGGGGCATGCACGTAACATTTGTTTCCGGCTGCTTAAAGCAAATATATATATATATATATTTCTCAGGATCATGCTACAGCTGTCGACAGCACCCATACAATCATAGAAAAGATAACAGTTGCTTTAAGGAGGTGCAGACAAGGACTGTACAAGTAGTCCTATATGCCCTTAAGCACTCTTTGTCTTTTAATTCCAAAGTGATGCGCAGCTCTAAAAGGTATTTGGTACACAAGGGCTCTTCTATCTGAAAGAATCACCTTTCAGATAGAAATTTGTATGTATGACAATAAGAGAATGAATTGTGGATCAGGAATTTTTTTGTATTCAGCTTCAAGAGTATTTCCTATAATAGAGATGCTTTCCCAATGAATCTATCTATTACTCAGTGGCCTTGGCCAAGTAAATAATACTAATTGTCCCAATAAAATAGAAGGGGAGTGCAGTGGAATAAAAATCCTGATTCAAAGGATCTTAGTGTGAATATCTAGATAAGATATATGAAACACTTATCTTTTCTAAACCACAAATGCAGGTAGTCCTCAACTTAAAACTGTTTGTTTACCCATGGTTTGAAGTTATAAGAGCCTCGGAAAAAGTGATTTATGATCCATCATCAAAGTTATGACTATTGAAACATGCCCACAGTCATGTGATCATAATTTTGGTGCTTGGCAATTAACTGACATTTATGAAGTCTGCAGCATCTTGCAGTCATTTGTGACTTGCCCAGCTGGTTTCAACTGAGGAATCAAAATCAATTGAGCAAGCCAAATTCGGTTAACAACTGCATGGTTCACTTAATAGTAAAATCATCATTAAATTGGGTCCAGCCACATGATGACCCCTGTAAGGACCGCATCATTTACTGACTGGTCCCAATTGTGGTCATAAGTTGAGGACAACCTGTAATGCCCACATTTGTTAACACTGAATTCTAGGAGGATTTTTTTTTTTTGTAATAGGTTTAAGCTTTAGGCTGAGAAATTGCTGTATAAAACAAACCACTACTTCCACTACAACTTCATTTGAGATTCTAGAACAGGTAGTCCTCAACGTACGACCACAATTGAGCCCAAAATTTATGTTGCTAAGTGAGAAATTTGTTAAGTGAGTTTGTCCCATTTTACGACTTTTCTTGCCACATTTGTTAAGTGAATGACTGCAGTGGTTCAATTAGTAACACGGTTGTTAAGTGAATCTGGCTTCCCCATTGACTTTGCTTATCAGAAGGTTGCAAAAGGTGATCACATGACTCCAGGATACTGTAACGGTCATAAATGTGAGTCAGTGGTTAAGCATCCAAATGTAAATCACGTGACCACAAGGATGCTGTATCAGCCATAAGTCTAAAAAATGGTCATGTCACTTTTTTCAATGCCATTGTAACTTTAAACAGTCACTAAGTGAACTGTTGTAAGTTGAGGACTACTTGACCAATCAAATTTAGCCAGAAGCAAGTCCTACTATCCTTGTGGGGCTAATTCACAATAAAATATGCAACTTAATAAAGTAATTATATGCTAGTGAATTTTATGCTTTCCTCAGAAAACAAGAATTAATACGAGTCACAGAGCAGAATTTAACCTGGTTCACATAAAAGGCTAACCTATAATGTATTTGTTTTTGGATTAAAGTGATCTAAATACAGCTCAGGGTTTTATCTACTGCTACTGCTCAAGAAACTATGGTTCAAATATTGATATATAATTAATTAAGAACACGTGATTTTCCAGATTTCTGCTCAATCCACTGCTGACATTAATGGAAAAGAAAATAAATATGCAAAATTAAAGTCTGGCTTGCAGTTTTCTAATATATCAGAGAACCATTTAGACAGGAGTCAGGAGTGTAAAGTCTTTGGATATATTTTGCTTGATTTTTCACTGCCTATGCCTATTTTATAGAGATTATATTTCATTACATTTTGTACTTGGGGATTACCATTATAATGACAATAATACGAATAATTCAATTCAGCTAAATAATGTGCAGAGCAAATTATAAAGGTAGTTTTATGAATCCTCAAAGTATTTACATTTTAATTAGAGCTATTTCTAAATGTATATCCAAAATATTTTCTTCCTTAGATTTCATCGCTATTCAGGCATTCCTGGTGGTCAATTTCCAAATTTTAAACATGAGTCCCCAAATGTTATTTTGCTATATTTTTTTCAACAAGCTGACATTTTCATTATGGAAATAATAACGTGATCTTCTCCTAAAGCAAGCAATTTCTTTATATTCCTCAGAAAGAGTTTAAATCACACATTTCAACTTGTTTTCCTTGTCTGGAAACAAAATGTAATTTTTTAGCAATGTACCTCTTGGGGAGAAACATTTTGCATAGAGGCCGTATTTAAGGAAACTTTTTTAATATATCCCATGAATTCCAAGAGCCACTCCATTCTTTTTAAGACTCCTGAAAAGCAAAACCACAGAGGTCAAAATCACACACCCATTTTCAAATGTTGTAATCATAATCTTATGGACATT